ACCTCCAATAAAGGTGGAGTAGACACTGGGGGTCCACACTCTGGCCTCTGTAGCCAGCCTCAGTCACTGGTCTTTCAAAACTCCTTTAGACATACTATCCAAGTAAGCTTTGGGCTTTGGACTTGTTTAGTATACATGAAGTCCTAGGTTTAACCTTCAATAAAAGAAAAGAGACAAAAAGAAAAAAGAAAAGAAGAGATCTTTGTCATCAAGGAACAGCCAAAGAAGATGACTGGACCAACATTATGCTGTGCTGACTTTTTCTGTGGGAGAAGGCTGAAGAATACAGTATCTTTTCAAAAATTGGAACTTAAAGTCCACATTATATTTCCATGTATCTTCATTTGACAGATGGTCTAATTAGACTTCACTGAACTAGCAGCTTTACCAGCAGACCCCTGAAGTCCAGTTTTCATGGCTCTGAATGAAACACGCTTCCCTGACCTGTGGACACATCCACCGGCTTTCATTTTTCCGGGCAGGGTTATTTACTCAGGTGACTGATTCTGCTTGATGTCATCCACAACTCAGGGAGGAGCCACTCCCTCAGTTCTGAGGTCAAGGCCAACACTTTCCTTCCTAGATTCCATCAGTGAGACCCTGTTTTGACTTTACCCCGTGCCAGTTGCCACAGCCCACAACACAGGCTGTGCTGTGTGAGAGAGAATTCCTCCTGTCTGACCAGAGACACAGGGCATTTTCTCTGTTTTATGCACCAGGAATTTGAGAGCATCTACATATCAAGAGAAATAGATTTGCTTACAAATGATCTCTAAAACTAGTCTTTCATCAGGCTGATGAGATGGCTTAGTAGATAAAGGCACTCTCTACCAAGCATGGTGACCTGTACTCAGTTGCCAGCACCCACATGATAGATGGAGAGAATCAACTCAGCAAGCTGTCCTCTGACATGCTCTGCTCTGGCACACTCGCTACAAACAAACAGGAGAAATAAAATGTCAAAATTAATCTTTTATACTCCAATAGGAAAATGTAGTAAAAGTTACTGTTTTTCTAAAAATCATCCTCTTTATATTCAGAAATTATTTTCAATTCTCCCATTAAGAACCTAATTAAAATTTAACAAAGTCATTTTAGATCATTATAACTTTGTTTTTATATTATTAGGAATTGGGTTAAAATGACCAGAAAGTGCTCACCATGGCATTGCCATAGCAACAAGATACAAAGCCACTATTGAGGTTCAGTCTTGCTCATGTTCCATGTGTAATGTTACAAATTTCTGTTCTGAAGCAAGCAGCTATAATCCCCAAATGCAGGAATATAATTGTCATGTAACATTTTGTTCTGAAGTGAAGTGATGGATATGAATGTCAGAGATGCTCCGAGATGGTCCCCAGGGAAGCTTCGCTTTCCTCTGTTGCAGCCTAATGGCAGAACAGAACGCTCCCACACTGATAGACCTGGTTCTGCAAACGCTTCCTCTCTTCACTACACTTTGCTTTCCATTTTTTAGAGCTCTAAATTCTCTCGTTCAAGTGCTAGAGAAACAAAAATAGAATACTCTCAGATCCCAGTCAGAGGACAGTGGCCCAACAACACAAAAGCTGATAACAGTATTGTGGAAGTCTAGTGGGGGTTTCACTTTTACTGTGATTGTTAAGGTTAAATCCATTTTAGAATTGATTTGGGTGTGTCCTTACCATCTCAGAGGAGAAGGGTATGGGGGTTTAGGGGAGTAACTGTAGGGGGAACTGGGATGAGGGGGCAGCGATAGGATGTAAAGTGAATAAATAAATTAATGATAGAAAAATGATAGTTTTTATTGACTAGAATGAAAGAAGGAGTAGGCACAAGTTGTTCTTGGGGTTAGTTTCCCTTTTGTCATCCCTCACTTCTGAGAGAGTTTGGATGTGGTCCTAAACCAGGTTTGAAGTACAGGACAAAAAGAAACTCATGCCCAGGCAGTGGGTGTCCACCAAGGTGCACGATTGGCTCCTATGGCGAGTGACATCTGTGTTACTGTAGAGTTGATATGGCGTGATATGTGTGATAAGCATTGATAATGAATGTGGGCATGTTTGTTCTTAGAGACTTTGATTATAGTAACTCATAAATCGTGTTTGCCAAATTTTATTAATGCACATTTTTAAACGTGTAAAATATAAATTTAAAGAGAGTTGTTGCAAAAGGAATTGGTAGAAACTGGCAAAGGTATCCATATGAAAATTCATACACCTTATTTAAATGATGAATAAATGAATCTGAATGAAATGAGCTCTTTGGTTCCTCTCGGGAATCCAACAGAAGAGCACGATCCTGGTGAGGCTTCCTCTCTTGTGGGATGATGGCAACGGTTTTAGGAATATCTGGCTTAACAGCACTGATCCTGACTACTACATTCACAGGAAACAAATGTCATGTTTGGGTGACAAATAAAACATATCCATAGACTTGTGTCCTATTTTAGGAACTCCTGTGGAGGAATGAAGATGCAAAATGACAAGGCTTTGGAATGAAGTCCCACTAGGTTGCTAGGGGAAGAGAGGAAAAAAAGATACTTCAGCTTATTAGAGATGCTTCAGTTCAAAGTTCCTCTAGATGTCAGTATTACATAGGGAAATGAAGCTATAAACAGCCTGTGGCAATGAGTGGAGGCCTTGCATTATTTAAATGGTAAAACATGTGTGGCACATAATCACAATATGTCCTGCCTAGTGATTGGCTCTTGTGCCTTCAGCACTGACAGTTTCTGCCCTTGGCTAGCCCAGACTCTGAACAGCATGAACACAGCATTCTCACATTTGCCAGCGGATACTCTTGGTCCGACTGGCTCTGCAGTTATATACCCATATTTTACATACTTTGATGGGTTAGAATAAACCTACCAGGTTTTCATTATTATTAAGCATATTTTTGCTCTTACTGTAACATTTATGCCACATAGGTTAAATCCCAAAGCATGGTAGAGAGCCATGCTTGGTAGAGAGTGTCTTTATCTACTGTATCTAAAGCGTACCAATACTCCAGAAATACTCACTCCAGAAGAGAAATTACCAAGAGACAAAAATGCCACCAACACAATTTGTTAAACTGCCTTATTTGACTTTTCAGAATTAAAATTAAATTATCTCTTTCTCCCCTCTTCCATGTTAATTCTAATCTTTTAACTAATGAACATATATATCTTCCTCACTGTGCTAATGCTTTTATTTTATAGCCCCAACTGTTACTCTTTTTATTCCATGGTGCCTATTCTGCGGTAGATCCCAAACAATATTAACTATACAGGTTGGCTAAAATCCTTTTCTATACCAGAAAAATATAGAACACACTGTCATTAGAGCACAGACCAAACAGAGAAATGAATTAGAATCCTGACTTCATTGTAAAAATATGGTCGATAGTCTCTCTCAAAGAGTTTCTGAGAATCACAAGTGAGTTAATCATGCAAAATACATCGAAGAATTTCTCACAGACTGTCTGTGTCCAATACGTGTTAGTTATCATTACCGTCTTCATCATCATTATCTCCATCATCATGACCACACTATCATCATCATCTTCTTCATTTATATCACCATCATTACACTGCCACAGCTGCTGCCACCACCATTACCATCACCACCATCATCATCATCGCCATCATCATCATCATCACTTTGTGACATCTCTGGACTAAGCACCATGGCCACAATAAAGCCACCATCTAGTAGGAAATAGATTATCAAAAACAGTTTGGTCAAATGTTACAAGGGACGCTGGTATTGTATAAATACGAACTTCTATGCCCACATACTGAAGTAGCTACTGGCTTCACTCAAGGAAGTTGACCTTTTTCCCAGCCATATCTTTATTTGCACTTAAATACTTTATTTGCATTTAAAAGTGAGAGGCTTTCTATAGCTTTGATCTCCAACCTTGGCTTTCAAAAAAATGTACTAAATGTTCCTCTGTGTTGTGAAATGCCCATTTGGAAAAAGGAAGCCTTCTGAGTTATAAGAGTATTTGGAATTTGTCTTAATCCCTACACTGTGCACTTCTGTGATATTTGATTTTTGCAGAACTCCAAGGTAAATCATGTTCTGCTCCAAAGAGCAGAGATTGATTCCTTGTGGCTTCATATGATTTTTATCAATTTCTAATGTATAATTTAGAACTTGTGTACATTAGGCTGATGTTCACCTGTCACATTGTATGTGAAAGGGTTTGTTAAGCTAACCTGGGAAAGCTAGGATTGTGAAAACATTTAATTGTATGAGAGAAAGGCATCTTCTAGGGGAAGAAAAGGCCCATTTTTATGAAGCCTACTGCCTTCATGTCTTTGTAGTTTAGAACACTCATTCACATATATTCTCTGATATTTATTGAATTTATATGCGAGCCAAACCAAGACAACTAAAGTGGAGGTCAAGGGTGGAAAACACACTATTCAAACCCTTTAATGAAGTAATGAAGTTGGGTTACCTTCTACACACCATGACAGAGTTACAGAGTTTCTTTGAAAATAGTGAGCTCATTTTCATTGATATTGCTGTTTATATAGGGTTCCATTAATTCAGATTATTTTATACTTTACATGACTGTTAGTTTCAGTGCTTTTGCCATCCATGGTTGAATTATATAATATATTAATTTCAACTTGGAAAAAATTTCCCCTTACTCCTGAGGAAATGAAATAATCTTTGGGGACATTTTGATTTATTAATATTATTTTAAATGAACAACATTTACGAGAGACAAGAATATGGTTGAGATATTTTTGCACAGCAGGTAAATATAGTCAGTAACAATGTATTATGCACTGTGAAACTAATTAAGAAATTAAATTTTAATTGTCTGAAGTCTGTTCTTTTGGCGCTTACTTCTGGAAGGTGGGTTTTTCCTGGCACTGGTTGGGAGAGGCCAGATATAATGCTAAACATCATTGTACTATGATGCTCTTCGCATGAAGAACCAGATAGTCTGTGCCAATAGTGCTGAAGCTAAGCTCTGTGTGCCCTGTTGGTAACCTCAGTTGCTTGTTTGTGCACCCACAGGCTGAGGAAAATGTGTGGTCCAACCGTGCACTAAACGGAAGGACAATTGTCAAAGGAGGAAGGACATCAGCCCTCACAGGTAACATCTTAGGAGATTTACTAGTGATGGAAAAAGTTCTGTTGCTACTCTTATTCAGAAGAAATCACACATTCCTAAATCCTGTAGAAAAGGATGCTGGGTTGTTTGTTTGTTTGTTTGTTTGTTTTAGTATCCTTATCTGATTGGGTTTGGCCATACCTATGACTAATCAGAAAATCTCTTGACATGCAGTTATCAGTCAGCTGGGTATATTTTATTCTGCTTTGCTTTTGAAAGCTTGAATCGACTGTCTAATAAGAGCCAGAAGAGAGGTACCATTAAATAAAGCCAAAATTAAAGTCATCATGTGCATTCTTCATTAAAATGTTTTGTGTTCTGTGGCTTCTAGAGATATCTGACCAGGAAGACCAATTCTCTTCCGAGAAAGAAAAGATTACCAAGCTCAACAAGAAAAATTCAGAGAAGACCAGTGCCACAGAAGTGCAGAGGAGTTGTGTCATATGTCACGTGGAAAGGCAAGACAGGATAGAATTTGTTCAGAGGAATTCCACGGAGCTAAGAGAGAACGCAGGTGCAAAAGGTGCTCCATACATAGGAAGTCTGGAGAGACAAGAAAGCATCAACCTGGGAGATAAACAAGACACTGAAGATAGCAGTGCAGGGGAAAGTGGGATTCCTTCTGAGGAAGATTCCAGAGGAATAGAAGCTGAGAACAGAGCTTCAACACCTGCAAGTGGAACAGTGCAGGGCAAACACTCGACTGAAAGCAAGCACACTGAGGACATGAATGGTGGCTCGTCTCATGAAAGGTAGGATTACATATCCACAGTTGTTGTGTCTTACAGCTCTTTGTGCTGTGATATTTGAAGCCATTCTGAAAGAAAAATGAAGACACTTTTAAAGGCAATGTTTAGAACCCACTCTTCTGTTGTACACTGATTTTTTCATGGCTACATTTTGCTATTTTTCTGCTATTTCTCTTTCTTCTAGCCAGGATTTTCAGTTATTTCCAGTTATTTCTCTTCTTCATTCTTCCTCTGCCCTCCCCTCCCTTCCTTTCCTCCTTTCTCCATTCCTCAGCCCCTCTCTTCCTTCTTTCCTTGCTTCTTTCCATTGGGGATGGAGCTCAGGGCCTTGCTCAAGCTAAGCCGGAGCTTCCTCCCTGAGGCCCATCTGATTGTTCTAAGTCTTAACACCAATACCAAGATCACCATTTTTAGAATCACCAGCAATCAGTACTCTTTAAAGGTCAAGTGGAAAAAGTTCTGTCATTTAAAAATAAAGAAAAATATTCTTTCTAAGGCTAAGAATTAAATTATGATTATGTTAAGCTGTAAATTAAAAACCTGACCTAAAAGAGTGGGCCTAATCCATTTTGCAATGGTAGTTTCTTCCCTAGTATTGTTGGAAGTAGATAATTGACTAAGTTTCTTCCTTAAAATTAAAATTAAAATTATGAACTGTCAAGTACAAATTCAGGAATTTTTGTATCCAATTAAACTTAGCTGCTCTAAGCATGATGACTGTGTGTTTGGAATAAAGAGTATTCAAGCACCTCTGATGTCTCTAAGACATGATTATTACTTAGCTTTAGTATAAAGCATTTGAAATTAATCTTGAGCAAATCTAATTTTCAATATATTAATCAGGATTGTTATTAAAGTCTGTCACTATAAGATGTGCTTAGAAAGAACTGAGCCTGCCAAACAATGCTAATGATCTTCCCCAATAATGACTCTTCAGTGGCTGTCAATCTTTAGAGAGATTATTGCTTCTTTTCTATAATTTATCTCTTCTATTAAGTTAGGTTTCATAAATGGCCACTTTAGGTCTCAAAGTGAGATTCTTGGAAGACTCTGTGTCTGAATGTACTTAGATTTGATGTCCTCAACTGCTGGACTGGTTTTCTCTGTATCACAGAGAACATTGTCTCCCCCAGACACTGTCATAAGAAAGTATCAGTTCCCAAAGAGTTTTGATGATCTGAACATTTTCTCTTGAATCTTTGAAAACTGCAATTGTATTTTATTTTCTAGGTGCATCAGTAATCTAAAGACCATTTCTACGCCAGGAATCCTTGGAAATTCAGCATCAGGACCCACTTTCCAGAATACCGAACAGACAGAGTCTACTGGCAGCAGTAAGCGCAGGGTGGCAGAGGAGTGCTTCCTCAGTGAGGACAACAAAAAGAGCAGAATAGATGTAGTGAGTACGGGGGAAGAGCCCACAGACAGGACAGAGGAAACCAGACAACCCAGGAGCCTGGATGATAGACTCCAGGATGGAATGGCCACCTCTAGAGAGCAAGATCCGACGGTCCCACTGGGTATGACATGCTTTTTGTTCTGGACTTTTAAAGCTTCCTCTCTATCCCCAGCAAGAATTCCAACTTAACTTCTCTTATCGTAACAGCTTTAAGGAGACATATGCCATATGAATGTTATTATTATGTTTCAACACTGTTTGCATAGGCAAGAGAACCAGTCCTGTCTGTCTGTCTGTCTGTCTGTCTGTCTATCTATCTATCATCTATCTATCCACCATCCATTTATCTATTATCTCTCTATCTCTCTATCATCTAGTTATCTATAGTCTGTCATCAATCTATTATCTATCTATTATCTATTTATTATCTATGTACAATCTATCTACCTGTCATCTATTATCTATTTTATAGATGTGACTATTATGATATATATGTATATATGTGTACGCCTACATATATATAACCTATAAATATGTGTGCTCAGGGTGTGCACCTGTACAGTGTGGAGGCAGAGTTGGATATCAAGTGTCCTGATCTATCTCTATCATTTCCCACCATATTCCTTTGAGACTGAAGCTCAGCTTGTGGCCATAACATTGAGATTGCAGGCTCATTACTAGGCTTTTTACTTGGATCCTTGGAATCCAAACTCAGGTCTTTAGGCTTGCACACAAAACTTTCTTTCCCACTGAGATATTATCCCAGCCTGAATAAAATGTGAAGCAATGAATACTTCCTGAAGAATTCTCCCATAGTTTTTTCCAAGTATATTTATAGCAAAAGTAAATGTTTACAGCAAATTAGATTCTAAGAGATTTGTGTTGTCTGAATATAAAAATGCTAAATTAATTAAACACAATTAATATTACTATTTAGTAGTATACTTAGAACAAGATAAGTGCTTAGGAAATATGTATTGGATAAATGCCAAGTTTAAATAATGTAGCTGTTTTGGAGCCAGACAGTGGTGGCCCACACCTTTAATTCCAGCACTCAGGAGGCAGAGGTGAATCTCTGAGTTCCAGGACATCCAAGGCTACACAGAGAAATCCTGGCTTTAAGAATCAAAATTAAATGAAAGAATGAATGAGTTAATAAAATAAAGAATATAGCTGTTCTACTCCCCTCTCTTTATACCCTTGCTGAATGTATGGAGTAGCTGTCTTAATAATTAAATGGGGATGAGAAAATTCATGAATAGCAATGGTCATGGGAAAATATGAAGACCACTAGGAGAAATATTATTGAGAAATATTATTGAGTAGCTATTTATGTTAGGATTCATGTCGATATGGACTATCACTTGAATATATATGGTAGAAGGTAGAAAGTGGGAGAAATTGGATAGCTGTAGAATATAACTTGCAAGTTTTACTGGGTGTTTTATTTCCATTCAGCCAGGGAAAATTCAACTCTGCACTTTAAATGCCACTGAAATAAAGACTAAAACATTTTAAAAGAGTAATATACAGTATCAAATATTTCAGTGACATAAGGAAATAATTCATGTTTCTCCCCCTTCCCCCTATGCTTTAATTAAAATATGAGTTATACAGGGCCATTTTCCAAAATGATGGATCAATTAATTTCTCATGGTCAAATGAAAAATAATCCTGGGCTTGGAAACATATGAGAAAAAATAATTGAGGTGCTGGAGATCAGACCAAGAATTTAGTCCATGCTAGGAAACTACTTCTCCACTGAGAATCAGCACCAGCACCAGCAATGACACTGTCCTGGAACTGTAGATTTCTTGCTATTTTGCATTGTCTGAAAGTGATCCTAAGGAGCTTTAACTCAGGCAGCATCCCAGGTAAAAATGAATCACCCATGATGTCTGCTGTTAGAAGTTCAAATCCAGATGCTGGCCTCCGAACTCATACTACTCAGACCTTTGAAGGGCCACTGACAAGAACATCAAACAGCTAGAGATTGACATCACTAATCTGAAGAAATCCCTCGTTTCGCTGTCTGAAGAGACCTCCTAAAATCGCAAAGATCCTTATTGGACTTGATTTACTCTATTACAATAGAAAAGGCTGTGTACAGCTCTTGACTGTGTACAGCCCTTAAAGAACAAGGTTGCCTTTACATAGACAAGACAAGGAGGGTTAAAGAGAGCATGAAATAGGTAGTGAAGGCCCTAAGAAAAATCAGAGAGAGAAAGATGAATGCTGGTACAAGAATTGGTTTTCAGCCTCTCCAAGGATGTCAACCCTATTTCTTCCCATCTTGGGACCATTATTTGGGTTCTTTTTGCTTTTTTCTGCTGGTCCCTGGCCCTCAAATATGCAGACTAACTCTGTGATTCAACAGATAAATAATTTGGTAGCAAAACCTACTCAGATACATTATCATAAGTTAGCTATGGAGGACCACGAGACTCAAGATGAGGTTGTTACTTTATACAGGGTGTTTCCAAAACCCATCTCCACCCAACCTAAAATGGGGAGACTTCTGCCCCTAGACCAAGCAGAGAGGGGCAGAACCCCCTCTGACAGGTGATCTGAATTCTTGCTTAGGCTGAGAGGCTAAGCACTGCAAGGGAATATAAATAAACCATAAAAACGTCTATCTGGGTTCCCTGAGGGACAAGCCTGACTGCATAGGGGTTGATGTCAAAATTATCCCCTCTCCAGGAAAAAGACATCAGGATGGGTATTGCTCTCATCCCTCACTGGACAACGACAGGGGGACTGGAGCCACTACAAGGTCCCCTTCAAATACTGGAGGTCAGGCCTCTATCCCCGCCTTCGCAAGTTTAGAATTGCCACAGCCCTTCTATACTTAGAGAAGGGAGGAGATGTCAGGGGCAGCCCTGCTTACACACTGAAGGCCTAAAATCAGCCATAGGCCTAAAATCAGCAATAGGCCTGTCATACATGTATACTAACACCAAGTCTTAGGTCTCAGTGGAAAAACATTGAAACAGATGGCTATAAGCTAATGTAAACAGGCAGCTTTTGTGGAAATTTACAAGCCTGAGTAGTCATAGACCTTGTAAATAGGTAGCCTTGTCAGACAATACCAACTTAGATAAGGACAAGCGAGTCATAGGCAGAGTCATAGTGACTTGTTCCCTGAACCTTCACCCAGCCGATACCCTGTTCTGAAGATATCTGTATTCCCCCTGAACACCCACACTCCATTGTCATTCCCTTCCCCACATCCCACCTTTCTGTGTTTATAACCCCTGTGTGAATGAGTTATGATTTGAGAAAAAATAAATTATAAAAAAAAAGAAAGTGATCCTAAAGAGTGAATAACATTTCTTTTCAAAGACACCAGATAACATATTCTTCAGTTACAGTCCATTCATACATGGAATGAAAAATTATATCTAGCATCATTAGGACTAAGACAGATGGCCAATGTATTTTAGTTTTACATGAGCAAATTTTTACTCTGAGACATGCTGCTTAGTGCTGAAAGGAGGTCAGACTTCCTGATGGACAGCCCCTTTCTTCTCATCTTACAGATGACGTCCCTGCTCCTGCTGCCCCATTTGATCATCGGATTGTAATGGCCAAACATTCTGCAGTCGACAGTCTGTACACCGTGAGCAAATCTGAGATCCTAGGAGGGTGAGTGAGGCTCTGCTTGAGCAGCTACCCCTCACTCAGTAAAAGCAGGGAGCCTTCCTGAGGCAGAGCCCAAGATGCAGATATGTTTGCTGATCTTGACTTGAGAATTACAAACACTAAGAATAAACATTTCAAGAAGTTTGACCATTTTTGAAAAATGTAACCGGTCCCATAAAGTTGGTGTGGTGACCATACTTCTCATTTAACATCTGCTTTATTTGCCATATCATAAAGTCTGAGAGTAAGAAAAACCCAGTATGAGTCACCAGAAGGTCCAGGAACTGTCTAAAGCCAGCTTTAACCCCGAGGAGGTGAAATACATCAGATCAATGCATTTGCAGTGGCATGGATTTCATCTTTCTCTCATTCTTGCTGGTTTTCCAGTCCTGGTGTTTAAGCGTTAATTGCTATGTCTACCAAGTTCAGGAAACTAGTTAGCAGTAAAGTTAGTAGTAGACATGTTATTAGCAAAGTGTACATTATGCAGTAGCTTATCTTTTACTTGAAGGAGATATTGAAACAGGTCAAATACCACTGGATTCTCAGCAGTTTTGCTAGGTTCATCTCTGCGTGTTAAGGTACTTACATGTCAGTGTTGTCATTTAGGTTAAAAATCTATCGCAATGTGTATAAGAGACTATAGGCTACTAGGTAGCATTATTGGAAGATGGCACATTTAGGTTGTGAGGCATATCTGAATAAAATTAGGCAACCAGGAGTATGTCCTTGAAGGGAGTAGTGGAAACTCTGTGGCTTCTCATCCTTTTCTCCCTTTGCTTCCCTGCTCCCATGAAGTGAGCAGCTCTTCTGCCATGATATATCGTGCTGCTGCACGCCCAAAGCACCACTGGGCGATCGTAGGCTGAACTCTCTGAACCCAGGAGTCAAAACAAACCTTTCTTCCCTTAGGCTAACTTGTGTATACCTCATGTCTGTGTTCAACTAGCATGACTCTCGTGTTCTTGCATGGATCTTATGTGTTGGCCTCAGTATCAAAGTCCTTCTAGAATAAGTCATATGAAAGCCATAGTATGAAGATACCACTGGAGTCAGACTTGAAAAGACATAACTGCTGACCAGGCACTTCTAAGATTAGTGCTAATGAGGGAAAAAACATCCCCTTAATCATGGTTACATGGGAAGTACTTGGGCCTATGTTTATGTGTGCCAGCACAGAGGGCCACTATAGTGAGTGTTGTACTCTAAGTGGCCACTTATGTACACTCATAGTAATGCATAGTAATTTGGGGCTGCTACTAACACTGTACATGTCAAGCACGATCACACTCATCTCTGTAGGTGACAGGCATATGGTCTTTTTCTGGTTCACTATGTTGTTATGGGAGATTCCTTTCGCTCTCTGCCATGAAAGCCATCATGCACAGAGCAGAGACCTACCTTACTTTATTAAATAAGCATTAAGGGAAGCAAGTCAAGTTTCCCATGTGTATGTACTTCTGAATACAGTTACATAAGTGAGAATCTATAGTATTCTGTTTTCTATTATAATCAAATACTGAAGCTGGGTACTTTGTGATGACATAAGGTTAGTCTACGGTTCTGGAGAATTAGTAATGTGCTACCAGCATCACTTGGCTATGGTGAAAGGCCCTTTTGCTGCATCACATCATAATAGAAGACAGAGAGAAAGAGAGAGAGAGGGGAGAGAGAGAGAGAGAGAGAGAGAGAGAGAGAGAGAATCAGAGAGAGAGTCAGAGAGACAGAGAAACAGAGAGAGACAGAGAAACAGAGACAGAAAGAGATGAAAGAACTAGAAAGCAGGAAGAAGAAGGGAGAAGTCAAAGGAAGAGAGAATAAGAGAAGGAGGGAGGGAATGAGACAGAGAGAAGAGAGAGAGAGCAGAGATAGGGAGAGAATGAATCATATAGAACAGGAAGCCATAGAGCAATGCCATAGAACAATTGGAGTTTGCTTTGTAACTACTCTTTCTTGAGAACTAACTGGAGCACAATAAGAACTATATTAATTCATTCTGAAGACCTCTAGTGACACAGTTACTTACCAATAGGTCCTAGCTCTTAAAGACTCAACACAACTATCAACACCTCTGTTCTGAGGACTCAGTTTCTACTACTTGAACCTCTGAGGACATAGTTAAACCATGTCCATAGAAGCAGCTGTTTTATAAAGTATTAAGTTGTTACCTAAGCCTACATAAAAGTCTTCACTGGGGACTCATTGACTACAATACGTACTTTTGATTTTATGATTCTATGTGCAGATTGTTATTTTATTTAAATGTGGTTTCTAGAATGATTTTAGTGTCCCTGGCCCACAAGTTGTATTGTTCATATGATTACAAAGTCCAATTTTCTACATTCATATGTATTCAGAAAAATTTTTATTATCTGCACTAGTGGTTTTCAAATTTTAGTATGCCTATGAATCAGCTGAAAGTACAGACTCTGGAGCCATGGCTTCCTGCATCCACAGGACAGATGCAGAGCCCCAGAAACAGTATTCTTAATGCTCCATCTATGAGAGGGATATAGGCAACCCATAGAGCTCACTTTGACCAGTGCTCTTCTAGATACAGTAGATGTATTTGTAGGTTTGCTCACTCAAGAGACAAATGCATAGGCAACTCATACTGTCCACCTGGCAAGGCCCTGCAGACTACAGTGCCTAACTAAACTGTCTCTTCTTTGGCAGGGGGCGTTTTGGCCAGGTTCATAAGTGTGAAGAGAAAGCAACAGGCCTGAAGCTGGCTGCTAAAATCATTAAAATTAGAGGTGCAAAGGACAAGGTAACGGCCGTGGGGGGTGAGTCTCTCTAATCTGGACCAGTATTTACTGTACTAACTTGCTATTTCCTTCTCCTCAGGAGGATGTGAAGAACGAGATCAGCGTCATGAACCAGCTGGACCATGTGAACCTCATTCAGCTCTATGATGCCTTTGAGTCCAAGCATGACATCATCCTTGTCATGGAGTAGTAGGTGTCCTCTCTTACCCACCCACCTTCACACACCTGCACAGCACTCATGACTCAGCTGGAACCATTGGTGCACCTCTGAATCTGAGTTGCCAGAGACATGGAATCTTGCCAGGGTCAGAAAGGAAATTGCTTTTAAGTGCAATCTTCCAGCATGACTCACTGATGAGGCAGAGCAGGACAAAATAGATGCAGCCTGTATCTAAGCTGTGTCACAAACCAAGGCTGGACTTTATTCTGGGCATTCTAGAAGAAAGTGGTTTGTGAGCTTTGTTTCCCTCAACAGTGATTTATTTCCCTTATCCTCAAAAACATGTTCTAAAGCCTATAATGGATGACTAAGATTGGGATTGGTACTGAGCCTATAGGTACTTAAATACTCATGGTAAAGGTTAGCTTATAAGTTAGTAGCTCATCATAAACCAAAACAATTATGACAATAGATGCTGTGTGAATGCAGTCTCTATCTGAGAATATCTTGTGCTAAGTGGTGATCACAGATCACCACAAGTAGCTAAAACCTAGCAAAATGCAGCTGTGCATGAGGGGTGGGTAAGTGTGTGTGATCACGAGTGGATGAGGGGTGGGTAAGTGTGTGTGAACACGAGTGCATGAGAGGTGGGTAAATGTGTGTGAACATGAAGCACGTTCCCAGCCACTGATACTAGGCTAAGCAGCTTCATTTCAGAACCACTTTTGTAAAGATCCGATCAGCTCCGGTGGGAGATGGAGTGCCTGCCTAGTGTGTGTGATGCCCTGCTTTCCACCCAAGTCCTACCAGTGACCACCAGCACACCCACCACAGAATGCAAGTAATTCAGAACAGACATGAAAACTCAGGTCATTTTTATTTCAGTTTTTCAAACTGTGAGTTTTATTTTCCATGGTATATAAGGCATTTGGAAAGCTTAAGTATCCAGCATCTGCTATGTAAAAGCATTTTGGTATTACACTTAATCTAAGAACTCAAACCATGAAGACCTTGTCTCATTTACTGTAAAGACTGGAATCTCTCCTCAGAGTGTCCTTGAGTCCTCTTCATCCCCAATATCTGCTAAGTGATAGACGTGGACTCACCTAGAACTGCAGCTACTAGTGTCAGGGACTTTGAGACTTTAGCTATGTGACATTGAAGGTCATATGTACATAACATGTACTGAAGGTATCCAACACAAGACTCATGCCAAAGAAGGGAAGGAAATAACTGTGTGCACATACACACACACACATACACACACACACAGACACACACACACAGACACACACACACACACCTATGGAAGGGCTAAAGGAACTCAGGCAGCAATTGATCACCAGAAAAGCATAGTGTTTAGGGAGTCAGGACTAAGAGTTTCACCTTTTCCCTCTGCAGTGTGGAGGGCGGGGAGCTGTTTGACCGCATCATTGATGAAAACTGCAACTTGACAGAGCTGGACACCATCCTGTTCATGAAGCAGATCTGTGAGGGGATAAGGTACATGCACCAGATGTACATCCTCCACTTGGATCTCAAGGTAGAACATGTTTGTCATCCTGTGAAATGCAAAGCCATGTTAGCTCCTCTCTCACGTTGTTTGAGGGAACTGTGAAATATTATGTACCAGCTTTGAAAAGTTGTATTGTCTCTGGTCATTTTTTCAGGAATTAATAACAATCTGGGTCTCTGTCTCTGTGTCTCTGTGTCTCTGACTCTCTCTGTGTCTCTGTCTCTCTCTGCCTCTCTCGCTCTCTGTCTCGTTCTCTGTCTCCCTCTGAGTTGTCTTGCTTTTTCACCTACCCTAGCCATGAACTTCTAGGCTCAAGCTATCTTTTCAATTCAGCCTGTCAGATGCTGGGACAGACTTGTCACACTACCTAGCATAATCAGGAATTTTTCTCATTTTCAGCTTCTGTCACTACTTTCAGGGACTGCTATTTGCATGTCCATCTTTGGGGATTTTGTTGAGATTCTTATAATTACCTATATTAAATCAACACAGGAGGCCATTTCCCTAAAAGTATAGAATTAAAACCAGCTCCATTCTCACAAGATTCCTTACTCCTTACTATCAGAGTACATGGTGGGAGAATTTTAGTCTTCAATTCCCAAGTTGTATCTACCCTTTCCAGATCTTAAAAATCCCCACTAGGTGCTTGGATTCTTCCAGGAGTCTCTGATTTGGGATTTACTTTCCTCTGAGTTTGCTTAACACTGAGTAGAAGCCATGGAGAATGGAATGCAGGCCTGTAGAAAGTGTGGCTTCAATGCCAAAAGCAGAGAGGGTAGTTGTTCACAAGTCAGAAAGCATGAGGGAAGCCAGTCCACTTCCTTCCCACTCTTTATCTCTCTCTCATTATGAAGTCTCCAGAACTGGACAATAAACAGCTCTAGATAAGCCAACAAAAAACTAAGCCCTAATAGCCCTGATCCAGTCTGCTAGAATCACTATCATAAAGTGCATCTTCTTGTGTGGCTTGATCATTTTCTCATTTCCCTGTTTGCACAGCATGACAGTGAGATAAATTTGTATTCTATGTAACATACCGTGTCTTGTAAGTCTCCAGGGATGGTACAGCTGAATAAATCTGGCCCCCTTAAATAGGTTTCCATGGGCCTCTCTTCCTAAAACTTGGCTCCTCTCACTGTCTTGATTTATGTGCCTTGCCTTTCCCATTCACTGTTGCACGGGGGTGGGGGGGGAAGTGGTACATAAAATGAGAAAGTCAGAAGTTAAAAATCATTAGCAAAGTCCTTGGCCACGATGAATATTATAATGTGCATTTTCAAGGAGCACTTTTGTTCACTGTGGATATTCTACAGACATCCCTAAAGTGATTTGATTGGCAACTGGAGCCAGGAGCTGACCTATCATAAGTCAAATGACTCCATCTGTGGCTTTGTAACATTGATTGAACACTTGCAACGGGCAGTTTTAGTTATGGTTTATATATAAAGATAGTAATACAAGCGACAGTCGGATGGGTCACGAAGGACCTGTTTTTTGTTTTTTTGTTTTTTTCTCGGAGAGCTCTTTGGAAGGAAAGACTGAAGATATTGAGTATGCATCACCACAGGGGGTTGAGAGGTGTCTTAAAAATAATTTCCTTTGTAATCCTGTTTTCTGTAAATATTATCTTAACATGGATAATGGACAATCTTTAGTTTTAGTGTCATAGCAATTACCTTTTTGAAGTGCCCACAAAGACGTTTCTTTACATGCTGCAAAAGAATTTTCAGGATGCCATGGTGTTCTTTAATAGGACAGTCTTTATTGCTCAGCCCATTATTTAAACACATCTCCAACTGCTCTAGTGCAGCACCCACTGTGTGTAAAGTGGCTTCTACTCTCAGCCATCTGTTTTAGAGGCATTTTAGGAAAAGGCTTCCAAAGATACTACACACAACCAAATGGATGATTAGATATTGGTATGGAGACACCCCATCATTTCACAAAGTATGTCTGGGTTTCTGCCTTGCTTGGACCTCCTTTCCACCAGACAGGATGTGGAAGGGGGCGTGGTCCATGTAAAGGATGGGGATGGAATCCTGGGCACCTGGCAACTTGCTAATGCCCAGCTCTTAGTGGAGTTGAAATTAGGATTTAAGAGTACTTGGCTCTTCTTTGAAAATGCTATTTCTTGTTTTATGGATGACCTTGGCTTTAAATGAAATTACTTATTTTTCCCAGACTTAAAGTTTTCTATCCCAATAAATATAGCTACATCTGCAGGACATTCCAGGGACACTGAGTAGTACTGCTTGATTTTCCTCCCCTCCCCCATGCCTGTCAGGTTAGCAGGGCCAAGTTTTACTAGCATCTAACTCCAAGGGAACACTTAGTCAAGGACTTTAAGCACTGAGACCAAGCTCAGCAAAACCTTGGAATTTTGGAGGATGAAGAATGAACAGGAGACAAAAGCCTTCCTTTAGCATGCTATGTTCCCATAGACAAAGCACCAGGGAAAAATCCAGAGGTCAAAACTGATCGCATTATATTGCTCATTCAGTGTGGTGGTTTAACTGAATCAGGCCATTTCTCTTGGAACTCGTAAATCTTGAGGGAAATATTGCCTCAAGAAGGAAATATACTTAATACTTTAACAGGAGGAGGGTTCTGTCAGTTCTGAACTGGCCTACACCAGCCCATTTGGAAAGTGCTGGAGCAGCTTCCTTCTCGTTCTCTCCTCAAGAAGGCCCCTGCCTGAACTCATGCATTATGGCAATCTGTAAAACCATGAAGAGGGACAGGCTGGGTAATGCAAGGTTGGCAAGCTACCCACAACCTCATCCACCACATAATTAAAGGAGAAAATACCCACACAGACAAACCAGCCTCCGAGTGAAAGCCCTGATATGTTTTTCCTGAGCATCTTGTATTTTTAGTTGTGGTTCAAGGACAATTTGAGTGAAAGATGGTTGTTTTCATTGCTAATGTGTCTCTTTCTCCTGGCAGCCTGAGAACATCCTGTGTGTGAATCGGGATGCTAAGCAAATAAAAATTATTGATTTTGGATTGGCCAGAAGGTATGGCTGTTTGGGTGTAAGTAGTGGGCTAGAGGCAGGGGATGGGATGCATGCTCCTCTTTGCAAAGACAAAGCTGATACGCCTCAGATCCCATGCCTTCATTTAGAACTAATTTAATGAAAATCCCATTTACCTAACCCTGTTAGAGCTGAGATTCGAACATTGAGAAATATCTACAACGCATCTAATAACAAAATGAGAAATGAAAACCTAGTCCAGTGAAGTTTTTGAATCCAGGATTTATGTTTATCTAAATTTTTGTATTTGTTCCATTTATAAAGAGAAGACTTTAAAATGTTAATAGTTTAAACAAGACTGGAGAGGGGTTTGGTTTCTTAGGGGAACAAAGAATTTACGTGGATATGTTAATAGTTCAGTGTGCTAATGAGCTGAAAGCAGATGCTGTGAGTTACGGCAGCATCTTGTCAGTTTGAAAAGGGTTGTTCTGGCCAAGTGCACGTGAGGTGAGGAACTTAATCAGGATATCTGCCACAGTCTGTATTTAGATATTCAGAGTAGATTTCTCACAGCTGTTTCAAAATATTAAGGTTTTATAAAATTTATTTTTACTTTTGGACACCCCCAGAATGTTTTGTTGGTTTTTGACATTATTTCTGGTGAAAGTTCATTTATTTTGTTTAGTTTGTTGTATAACTGAAGTTAATTTTATCTTATAAATGGTGCCGGTTCTCAATGTTCATTAGTTTTGATTTTTGATTGACATGCCTGACCCTCACCTTAGTCCCCTCAATTTCAGATACAAGCCTAGAGAGAAGCTGAAGGTGAACTTTGGAACCCCAGAATTTCTTGCCCCTGAAGTTGTGAACTATGATTTCGTTTCATTTCCTACGGATATGTGGAGTGTGGGTGTCATCACATACATGCTGTAAGCACCTTCCCTGCCTCTCACGTACTCATCCTTAATCTGTGAATAGTCTAGGAGATTTCACTAGAATGAAAGCCTTGACCTAGGTCTTCTACAATAACACTGTGCCATCTCCTGTTGCTTAGATTCTGTTGAGTCGTACAATTGGAAGGAGTTCATTCCTTTCCCCACAGTTTCTAGGAAGAAAAAAATATATGTATGTCTTTCCACAGGTTACCTTGAGTTCCAGGATACCACTAAAAACCCTAAACATGATTTTAAAAAAACCCTAGGTATTGGTCTGTTTGGATCAGTATACAGTGATCTGCTTAGCTTCACCTCAGCAATGATTTTCTGGGGTTTGCTTTCTGGGTATGCAACTGTACCTCGTCTTGCCAACTGTAAAATACTTCAAAAGAAATTTTATTTTATTGTTTGAGATTTATTCAAGTATAACTGCAACTGTCATTGCTGCAGTTGCTGGATGAGGGGTTGGGATGAGATGCATAGGCTGGGTCCTGGCTGCAATGGTGGATTATATACTTGCAGTTTATTGCTATATCCCTGCTTTTATTTTTAAATAACAAAACCAGGAAGCATCCTGTCTATAAAGGATTCTTGACTGTTTAAAAAACACTCACCCTGAACCCTGTGCCTTGTAGACTCAGCGGCTTGTCCCCCTTTTTGGGTGATAATGACGCTGAGACGCTGACCAACATCCTGGCATGCCGGTGGGATTTAGAAGATGAAGAGTTTCAGGACATCTCAGAGGAGGCCAAGGAGTTTATTTCCAAGCTCCTGATTAAGGAGAAGAGGTAAAGCAAGTCCATCTCACATTGTGGGAGGAGTCGGGGTGATGTGCAGTGTGCACCATGGAGTCAGTGAATCCCTTTCCCCCAGTGACAGCCACAATATGTGTGCAGTTCTGAACTCAATGAGGCAATCTCCTTGACACATTCCACTCAAGCCCAGGACTGTTTCAGTCATGAGGCTGTATGGGGCTGCAAAACTTGTCTCCTTCTGATTTTTACAATGAAGTTCCTGCAATCAAGCCCTTCTGGTCGGCCTCAGGTGACCTGCATTCAATCTGTCCATGTCTATAAACATTTATGGACCAGACAGTGTCATCTGCCTTTCAGACATTATTTTTTTTAATCATAGCCTTTAACTCCCAGAGGGAGAAGTGTCTGTTATGACTTCTTTATGATGAGACGGTATGTAGTTAGCCTGTGATCACACTGCTAGAAACAGGCAGGAGTGACAATAAACTGAAGTTGCTCTTCCTTCAAGCTCATACTCTAGGCTGTCATACAGCCTTATGTTTTTCTCTCATGCTAAAAACACACTAATTCAAATTTTAGCTGATGAATAAGTATGATATTGAAATATAGGGGCTTGATTTTAGTGTCATATAGTGGGGACCATATATGGACACTGAGTAGCCACTTTAGATGGCTTTATATATAAATTATATGGCAGTAGATTATATTTAAGGTCTTCAGAGCCAATAACAGTTACTTTACTGTCTCTGCAGCATTTGGGCCCATTAACAAACAAGATTGTGAAGGAAGAGGGAGGAGGACGTAAGGGAGAGTAGGAGCCTGGATAATGGGCTGTGATGCCGGAGGGCTATTCTTTCATGTAAGCACTTAACAGGCCATCTGTCACCAGGAAATATGTCAAGGCTGGCCTGGAACTCAGTTTTAGACCAAGCTGGCCTCAAACTCATAGAGATCTGCCTGCCTCTATCTCACTGGTGCTGAGATTAAAGGCAGATACCATCAGTCTGGCAAGTTATGTCTTTTAGAAAGAAACAATACAAAGTACTTCATAGAATAATGGGGCCAGGTCTGAGCCTCTAGAGTGGTGGGTCTTATCCTTCCTAATGCTACAACCCTTTAATATAGTTCCTCATGTTTTGGTGACCCCAGCTTTTTAATACAATTCCTCATTTTGCTGTGACCCCCAACCCTTTAGTATAGTTTCCCATGTTATGGTGACCACAACCATATTATTATTTTCATTGCTACTTCGTAACTGTAATTTTGCTACTGTTTTGAATCATAATGGTTTTTTTTTTTTTTGGAGATAGAAGTTTACCAAAGGGGTGATGATCCACAGGTTCTGTAGACCCATATGCTCTACAGAATGAGGAGACTGAGCTTAATAAAAACATCAATCTGGGGGTGAGAAACAGTTTAGAAACGTCATTTCTTTGTCCTTGACCTCTAGGCATGATAATAGCCATAGTTGTTAAAATGTTTCACCTTTATGGATCCTAAACAATACAGAGATGGAAAAATGCCAACTTCTTTGAACTTTAGAGGATGAAAAACCGCATTTACTGTGAAATGTGTGTGTGATGTGTATATTTTTAACTTCTGCTTACTCCTGTTATATATGGAAATAATCATCACAGTTTCATGTAAAGAAAGAGAGGTTGAGAGTCATGGAGTCAAATGACTAGTGCAGAACAGTTCCAGAAGTGAGTTTTCTGGACTTGGGCATCTGAGTCCTGCCCACTCCTACAGTCTGGGGTCTCTTAAGTATCCAAGAAATATCAGATAACATGAATGACTGACTTAGCTCTTAAGTCAACACTTGCTTGAAGTCCAGGCCAAATATCACTCTCATCAAATAAATACCTGGGGTACAAAAATGAACCTGAAATATTATTAGAAGTCAGTTACAAGTACAATCTTATTAACTTTTTAACAGATCTTAAACATTTTTCATTGGAGTGTAGGAAGAATCATCTTTCAACACCGTCCTCATGGAGTGGTCAAGGGACGCAACAGCAAAACCTTAGGATACTAAGTAGAACCATGTGGGATTGATGGGGCTGAGAAGTTTTAATATTTTCTACATGTTCAGGGTCCTATAACAGTTATTTCCTCAATAACTTCATTGCAAGTGAAGACTTACACTTCAATATTTGGCATTTAATAAAGCAATTGTGTTGAAGCAATCCTCCATATCAATTTGTGACTGCTTGAAACTATTTGATGTTTTTTGCAGAAGCATATTTCATATTGTTACAATCAGTTTTTAATTTGAAAGGTTATTTTAATGTGGTATTTATCAGCAACTAAGTAAGTCTATAAGTCTTAGAGTTAGGATGTGATATGACTTTTATTACCTGTCATGTTAGTTTTTTCAAATTTTATAAACATTTTTTCATCTCCAAAAGAATATAATTTCTTTATAAAGTAATCTAATATGTTCTGTTACTATTATGGTAACTCCCTGTTCTAAACTCTTCAAAACTCCTTCATGAAAAAGTTAGCAGACAAATGACTTCCCACCTAAATTGCTTTTGTAGTCATTGAGAATTCAGTTACAAGTACAATCTTAATAACTTTTTAATAGATCTTTAGCATTTTTCATTGGAGTGTAAGAATATCATCTTTCAACATTTTATTCTTATAAATAAAAATGTGCATTTATTTTTCAATAGTCTGTTAAGAATTCAATTTATGAAGCTTGGATGTCATATCACAGAATTGCTTATTTTCAAATTGCTTATTTGAAAAAATACTCAATTATTAATAAGAATTTGATTATTGTCCCAGCCTGTATTACCAGTGTTGTTCCTGTGGTTAGAGCTGATGACCACCTCTGCATACTTTCATACCACACAACTCCAGAAGACAAGCTTGAATGTGGGTTAGCCACTGTACCAAAGTCTCTGTAAGCCAGAGATAGACTGCTGATGCAGACGTCATCTGTGTGTGCCTCTAACGTGCTTCTGAATTTCCCTTCAGTTGGAGAATAAGTGCCAGTGAAGCTCTCAAGCATCCCTGGTTGTCAGACCACAAGCTCCACGCCAGACTGCGTGCACAGGTGACCATGTTTCCTGTTCCCTCTTCGCTTCCCATTTGCCTGTCTCTTCAGATGTAACTCAGCCTTAAATGAGCTTTCTCCTAATGTCTTTGCTCACAGCCTCAAATCTCGTGCTAGAAATAAATTGCTTGGAGTATTTTCATTGAGATATTAATGTTATATTTTACATACGTTTCATAGATTATCTTTAGCATTATGAAATCACTGCATCTGTTGTAAAATGTATCATACCACAAACTCACACACGTATACAGATATATTGTGTCACTTTTAACCATCCTTCCAGCAAAGAATGTCTGTTATGAGGCACAGTCAGCTTATGAGCAGCTCCTGTTTCCTTCCTCTCTCAGTCCTTTATTTCACATTGGATTAACCCACAAGTTCTGCATCTTGTATGTTCTAATTGCCTTGGGACTCTCTCCGGCTCTTTTTATGCCATGTTGCCCTACCTAGCCTGGGACACCTGCTCCCTGAAATGCTTCAGTCACCTCCTAGCTGGGCTTCTCTGCCTCACATGCCTTTCTCTTTTAAATATCCATGGATTCTAGAGATTACCCAAAGGCAGATTCACTGCATTGAATAACTTTGCTCAACATGTAGGCTGCCTAACTGGGACAGATGAACATGGAGGCAGAATGCAAGCTCCACCTTCCGGCTTCAGGCTTGTAAGGATGTCTCCAATGTGTGTGTCAGTTGGCTGGTGTCATGCCTGGGATAGTACATACTCTTTCTTTCTCTCTCTCTCTCTCTCTCTCTCTCTCTCTCTCTCTCTCTCTCTCTCTCTCTCTC